AAACGAAACGTCAAGATAATTGGATTGTATATTAAAAGATAATTAATTTTAAACGAGATATTGAAATTAAATTAATTATACTCTTCATAAAAATTCATGATTAGATACAATTGAATTTTCAGTGGATGGAAAATTTGGGGAATCATTTTTTGAATTTTTAACATTTTCACGATTTCCCACGATAAGTGATACGAGATAAAAATTAATTCAAAGTAAAAATGTTTTCAGGGTGCCCTGGCGGGTGACTATATAATGCGACACAGCAGCCACATGACACCAGATCCAAACGGCTTCAAGACATCCATCGAAAATATCATGAAGAGACACATGACGAATAAAATGGGTCTTAAAAATGTATGCAGCTCACCCATCAAGACCAATTTCGACAATTAATAATCTGTTTATCGATGTAGGTCAACCTAACTGCAGTCATGAAAGAATTTTACTCAGCCTTGATCCATTACAAGGTTCAACAAGACAGTGCCTTCATAAATGTCGTACTGAGTGTTCTGTTGATCGAGGGACTCGGCAGAAATTTAGACGTTAAAGACGACATACTCCAGGATATCATTCCATATCTCCGTTGAGCCAAGATGCTGAAGACTCTTCTCAGCAGGACAGTAGCTGTATTTCGAGCTGGTTTTCAAGGGGCTAAATAATATCACCTTTTTTTTTGAATCTCTGGGGGTATAATCTTCCCACAATTCAAACCACAGATTCGCTTCCTGGTTGAGGCGAGAACAAGAAGCACTTCCCTCTGTACGTGATCCCATGGATTTCACACGCTTCTTTCGCATTTTCTCGACATGAATGGAATAAAATTATGGAACAATAACATTCCACAGCGTTTGTCACTCCTCGATGAAATTGCGAAATGAAATTGCGGTTTTGCATTCCATTTATTGATAAATGTGAAAAATCCAGGCACATGGTGGGCGCGATTTTTTTTCTGTGGAATAATTCATTGTTTTCAATTATTCAATTTTATCTACTTTTTGTACTCATTACGTGTGCGTAATGATAACAATGACGTGAGGTAATGATAACAATGACGTGAAGTAATGTTTAAAAATCTGAGAATTACCAACGAATGTACATTGAAAAAAAAACAGTGAAGGAAGTTATTAATATTATTCGAGATTTAATTGAATTATGAAAACATCGTGATGGCCTTCATATGGTCACGTTTCGAGATTTTAGAGTGGAAAATATCACGTGGATGTTTTCCTTAATAAAAACACTTCTCTTCCTCCAGCTCCGGTGCTTTCTTTAGTGTACAAGATCAGAAGGTTCCAGTACGTGGAAAATATCTGGAAGTGATGTTCCGTGTGAAATCTGGAGGAGTGATCTGTTAATTCTAACACGACAGCATTTATTTTCAACATCAATTGGTAATTTCGAGACTTATTGTTATTTTTCCTCAATTTTTTACTATCCGGAATTTATATTTAATTATATACCAGAATTTCTTACCGGAAATCAGGTAATTTCATGGGATTATCCATTTACTTACGATTTACGATTAAGCCACGTGATTTTGTGTTTCGAATTAACGAAAAAAATTGCGTAAATTATTATTAATTGAATAGAATTTATTGAATTTATTGAATTTATTGAATTAATTGAAATTTATTGAATTTATTGAATTAATGGAAATTTTTATTAACGATACAATATAAAATTCAATTAAACTCCACAAAATCTAGAGCTACAAAAAAATGAAAAAATAGATCCAACTGATTCAGTTTTAAATACATAATTACGCATAATCACACGATACGCGATTTAACTCTAGAATCCGCGGAACAATTAATCGATTTGAGAAAAAACCCTAGAGTTTTCGAAGTCGTTTGGGGTTCAATAATCTGTGGATTTACCGTAAACTGCTGTCATTGACACCGCACCTAACGGGTGATATTTTTTTTTAGCTTTTAGTATAAATCATTGAAAAAAAATCCAACGAGAATGTCTTTCTAATGCCTAGAAGTCGAGATGGTCCTTGACCCTGCGCCTTGATATCCCGTTTTTCGATTCCGGTGGTTGACTCCATCCCATCAGAGTTCAATCGCTTTCATCAGTCACTGCATTCCTCTTCTCAATCCTCCCTCACCGGATTAAATACTTTTCCCCCATCCGCGAAAAATAAAAACAGACGAATAAACATCAGATGTAATACTGAATAATGTGCTTGGCCGACCTGAATTCCGTACAACATAACTGCTTATCCACGCCTTTTTAAATTCCATGCGTGCAATACTCTTCCTCTCTCCATCTTCCTCAGGGCCTTTTCTCACCCACAATTTCCTCCTTCATTTTCAACAGACCCTGTAATTTATTGACTCTTACTTATCGTC